AGAAATATGTGAAAACATCACTCGACTTGGTCATGTCGGTAATCAAAATGTTCATGGGGGATCATACTAGAAGTCCAAAGGTGTCAAAGGTAGAAATCGTTGGCTCTATAGTGTGATTTAGCCATGGAACCGAAGCTCATAAGCGTCATTCGCTCATTTGTTTTGAAACAATCGTATATTTCGAAACTAAAACCATAAAAAATGTATAAAATGATACTAGAAATTAATTCTACGTCAAAAATAGTGTGGATATAGACCCATTGCAGGTCACTGTACGAGGGTTTTCTATGCCATAAATGTGATTTTTTGTCAATCTTTCAACCGATCGATAGTTTTATGAAGAAATGTCGATTTTAGAGCAAATTTGTAGGAAAACCGGTATTCAAGTGTTCCGAGACCTATATTTTTTTGACGAAAAAAAGGTAGTTGTCGAAGACAAAAACATCGTAAGTGGCCATTTTCGACCATTTTTCTAACATCAGTGATAAAAAATTTGAAAAACATTTTTTTTCCACTGAATCCCCCAACTTATCAAAACGAAATATGAGGTTTATCTGGGCTCGCCAGCAACTAAAATCTGACTTTCATGTGTTGAACCGTACATTTCAAAAGTGTAAAATGTTACTACAGTGTATTCGGCCAGTATTTGGCGGTGTGAACAAATAAATAAATATTGAGATTTCGTAAGAAATGTCATCATTCCCTAGAAAGTTTTACATTTGAATGAGCGACAGAGGAAGATGATCCAATTTTTTACAAGATTATTGCAATTTATTGAAGTTGTCCGGTATTTTCATATTCAGCTACACAAGTAACTGATTTGCGAATATCGAACTACTTTTATAAAAAAGGTTAAACATAAACTTTATGTATAACATTTTATAAATTTTAACCCCCAAACCCCCCTTTGGCTACGCCACTGCATAAATACTAATTTCTCTTCTAGAGTAAAAAAATCTGTAAAAGTTTTTTCCCGGATAATTTTCTTTGAAATATTAATCTCATGACTTATAAATCAATCAAATATTCATTCCTCTTGACTGAATGCTCTACATTTTTCTGTAATTTAAGTTATTATATTTTAAACGCGTGACGTTGATGAAAGCATACAATGGACTAAATTATTTCTTAGAAAATCAAATATACACACAGTTGGATAGGCCAATTGAACTGCTTTATAGATGTACAATGTATAGCAAGGTCATTAAGCTAATTAGTCATAGTCTGTAAGATCATTTGTTTCTTTCGAGAGATATCTGTACTTAGTTTCGGTGAAGAGCTTATTGGTAATTTTGCTCTATAAAAAAATCACCGATTGATTCCGAATTCAAAATTTATAACTTATTGACGGTCAGAATGGTATGATTTCACGTAAGAAAAATCCTAACAAAATCTCATTTTAGTCACTCTACACTTTCTTGAGTTTAGAAATGTGATTTAAATTATTCAACCAATCCATCCGATTGTTCACATTATTTTCCGTTTTCATAATAACTCATTTTTTGAAATTGTCTAGAAAAACTTTTCTTCCAGAACAATCATGAGAATAACATATCCTGTTTTGGACAAAATTTGAAAACAATTCTACTGAAAAATGACAAATGCCACATCAAATCACATAAATATGTTGAAATCACAACACGTAAATAGAAATTCAACGTAATGCTTTAGAAAATACTATAGCGTGAACACATCTTTCATGCATTATTGTCAGATACACTCTAAATGAACAACGATTGATTCGACGAATCGCTAGTTATATATACATATACACAAGATATGCGGATGGAAAATAATGCAGATGTATTTATGAATTACGTTTGATGGACAGATTTTCAATTATACTGGAAAAGCGGTCGATTTATCAACTGTCGCTCAGATGGGGGGGGGGGGTGTAATCCGGGGACGAGTTATGTCAATACGACTTGATATCGATTATATAATCGATCGTTATCCATATTTGAAATGGATTCAAATTGAAATGGACAAAAACATGAATGGCCCAATTTGATTTAATTTTTTTCACTTTTAACTGAGAATAAAAGAAGTTCGCACTGCCATTCATTCAACATTTATATAGAAAATATACCTAAATTTTGTGTACATATGAATTAAACATAAATGTTTCAAAATGAATCAAGACAAAATGTCTTGGAGAAGAAAATCTTCTCCTCATTCGTCTCAAATCAACTCCTTAAATCGAATCCGAATGAAGAAAAAAAAACAGAGAAAACCAAAGCTTTGACCTGCATTGCATACCAATGTTCAAATCGTGTACGCAACAGAAATTTAATAATCTTGTGAAAGTGGGCAAAGCGTGTCGTAAAATTATTTACTCGTTGGATAATAAAATTTATTATTAATGTTAACTTCCGTTTTGTCGTTGACGAATGTTTGCAATGCCTTGAGTCCAGGGAAAACAAAAATGCACGATGCGCCGTAAAATTATTGTCAAAACAGATGCGAATCAATTCATATTGCATCACGTTTTGTTTCTCCAAGCGTTGATATTTATTTTTAATGCGCGAATAAAGATCCTATAGCATTTTCTTCACGGTAGATGGGAATATATTTACGAGATTTGCCCCATTCATTTCATAAATGAAACAAAACTGGAATTCGTCGTTTGACACGCACACTCGTAAAACGTTAAACGGATGGAAATGAAATGATTAACTTCGTATACTAAATGAATTTTAATTTATGTCTCGATGCAAATATATGCGCGCGCAGCGCGCACGCGGTTCGTGTGGAGTGCATGTATGGCTGAAGAGAGGGTGAGCGCATTTTTATTGCATTCATTGAGCGTTTTGCACTCGCCAGACGAACGAGAAGACACATCATTTCATATTTTTACGAGCCAAATCGTGCACTGAACAATAAAAACTCGTAAAAATAGTAGCGAAACAGTGGCTAGGGTGGTGGTGGTGGTGTTGGAGGTGATGAAGAATGTGTACACAAGTATCATTGGCATGTTGGTATGTGCACTCACAGTGAAAGAGGGAGAAGGAGTGAGAAGGAATGAGAGAGGGAGAGGTTGAGAGAGAAACAGAGGGTAGCACGCTAATAACACGGAAGACAATTATGTATATTGTTTTCGTTTTTATTTTCGGTGTATTTGCTTTAATCTAATTTTTCATATTTAGCTGCGTCACCAGGCCATCGCTATTAATAATCGGCAGTAATAGTTTTGCTGCTGGCTGTGATGCATATTTGCATCGTAAAAATTCGTCCCCAGCACCGTGGACTCATTACACTTGCCCGATTCGGTGCTACTGTTGCTGTTCCACATACTTTTGTTTCCATAGGTTTTTATGGTGAAAATATCATTTTTTTTACGACAAAGTCATGAAACGGATATAGAGAGCCACCGTTAAAGGGTTCACGATGATACAAACTTGGAATGGTTTTCTTGAAAATATGGGCGGATATCGTCCACGCTACTTCTGCATATATTTTCCAAATGACAATATTAAAATTTAGTTTTTTTTTACGATTTGTTGTTCGTATAAAGTTTTTGTTTACGCTTTTGCGACGAGAGAGAGAACGAAAGAGGCGAGATAGAGATAGAGAGAGCCATTGCTGGTATCGGTGTGTCATTGCCTTGTTGTCCCTTTGCAAATGCATTTAAACCGTGAAACAGACATTAATATTCTTCCTCAATTTTCATTATTACCCGGATTCTAACAATGGACGACGCTCCTTTCGCTCGCAGCACTCTTTCTTTTTTATGGTCAAACAAATGAAATACGAAAACAGACGAATGCATAATAATTATTCATTTTTTTACGATTGCTTATTTCGCTATTAATTTTATTCTTGCACAAGCGACGCATTCATTTGCACGGTCTCAATATGACGAATGAGTGTCTCAATTCATTCGACAAAATTACAACTTTTTTTCACATTTCCATCATAGACAATTTTTAATTGTTGATATAAAATTTTGCGCAGAAAAAAATGAAATAGCAATGAATGAACAGGGCACACAGCCACACGCTGCAATGACAAGTGTCAAAAGTCGAATTTCGAAATATCATTTAGTGTTACCGCCATCCTCGTCTAATACCATTGATTTTACATGTAAAATAACAACAAGAAACGACAAAAGTGACCCTTCGTAGCGGCACAGTTGAAACTAACGAAACAAACACAATTGAACATGTCATTTTCATGTTCAGTGTTGGTTCTGTTGTTTGCCGTATTGCTGGAGAGAGATGTCTACAGCTTAGTGGCGTTGAATGACATTCAACACCCATGGTTAATGCAGTGAATTTCGGATTTTTCGATGAGTTCGGGTTGCACATTTTAAAAATGTACGGATTATGATTTGTAAGCAGCGGATATTTTATTTCTGAAAACAGATTTTCTTCTTCGCACTACGATAGATGTCATCTCTTAACCGCTAAAATTCTAGGTTTCATAAAATAGAAATTGCAACTAGAATTCACGAATGGATATTCGATGTCATTGCTTTTTCTATTTTCACAGATTTCTTTGAAACCAATTCTAAAACTCGGCACCGAATAACCGTTGAATCTTCGCTAATTTTGGGAAAAGTTTATTAAATCTAACCAACATGCTATCGAGTTCTGGATTTCGGGGAACCCAAAAACTGTTTCATATCAAATGATAGCGTCAAATCGACATTTTTGTTTTGTTCACGACAGATTGACATTGTGGATCGCAATTGATTACAATCAATGATTCTACTAAAGATCAAGAGCTCGATTTTGGGTTTCTGTTCCTATAGATGATAGTCTATCTTTAATAGAAAATAACATATAGCATTTCCCTCACTATGGTGGCAGTTAAGAACAAATCAATCAATCAACCAATTTGTCAACATTTAATGACGTGAATAATTCCCATTGAAACAAAAAGACCAGATTTTATATTTGATAAGATTTCGTATTTGTTTTTATTCAATGCAAATTGATGTTCAAAGTTGTACCTAACGATGTGATCGATTTCAAGTGTAATTCCTTGGCAGCAGACAGCTACTTGTGCATTTCATTGTGTTTGTTGAGAGTTGCCATTTGTGAGAAGCCCTTCGAGCATAGTTCACATCGGAATGGCTTTTCGCCAGTGTGGATTCGAATGTGGTCCATCAAAGCTGACTTACGATCAGTTGTGTAGCTCTTGCGAAAATCGCATCGGTATCCGCGTCGCTTGCAGTTGGCTTCATGATTCTTCTTTTCCTTCTGTTGTGCGAAGATTTTGAAGCAAGATGAACACTTGAATTTCAATGGATGAGGATTGGTGTGAGTTTCGCGATGGCGATCCAAGACACTTAATTGATTGAATCTTTTTGAGCATTGGTTGCATTCGAATGGTCTCTCGCCAGTATGCACACGCAGATGACCTTTCAAATTCATCTTATGCAAAACAGAGAATTCCTGACACAGATGACACTCATAGCGACGAACCGTGCAACCGGATTCATGTTCCACCTTCTCCTCGCTGCGATAGAATCCTTGCGAACAATTTGAGTAGCTGAACAGAAACTCATCGACGTGTTTTTTCATGTGCGATAGGAGATGTTGTTTTCGAGTGAATCGTTTCTGGCACAGGCTGCATGGAAATGGTCGTTCACCAGTGTGCTTGAACATGTGCCTGGTCAAATGGCATTTAAGTGTAGTGACATAATTGCACAATGAACACTTGTGTCGCTTTTCATTTGTCTTGCCTTCAGTCGGCACCTTCTTGTTACCAACGTCGCTTGATTCTCGATATTTTGAGGCTTTAGTTACACTTTTATTTACACCACCGCCAATCTGCCTACCGGATTTTCGTTCCTCTTCCTTCGAAAAACGTTTCTTCGCATTGTTCTGTGGCGTTTGATCTTCGTTACAGCTCTTCCGTGGAACTTGATTCGCCTCATTCCCAACCTTTTCGACTTTGGCTTCCACTTTAACCTCATCTAGATTATGGAAATCGAAATGATTGTCGGTATCATTCACTCGCTCGCTACCAATCCCATTGTCAGGTCTTTCATTGAATGTACACGCTGATCTCGACTCCATCACAATATCATCGTCGTATTCTGGCTCTTGTTTGACGGTCGGCTCCTGTTTTATTTCCATTCCGCACATAATCAATTCATTCTGCAACGCAATAGCATCGTATTTATGTTTATCCGGCGGCCCTTTGCCGTGACCATTCATTTTGACGCAATGTCAGTGCTGTCAATCAGAAATCAGAATGTTCATTATTTGAAACCACACAGTACACAAACACTAAAAAAATTCCACTTTGACAATAACTCACCTTTTCTCTACAAACTGAACTTTTTGTTCCGGAATGAAAAAATAAATCGATCCAAAGACTGAACCCGTCGATTAAGCTCGACAGCGCATAAATTCTGTCTTAGAGCAACTGTGTTGAGCAGAGCAAAAATGGCGTCGTGAAAGAATGAAAATATCTATTGAGTTGAACTGAACGTGTAGCCAAATCACGGAGATGTGCTGATGCGATGATGAAACAGCAATGGACGAAATGCGCACACAGTGACTTACTGCAGTGACTTTCGAATTTTTCGATGAGTTCGGATTGTCTGTTTCGAAAATCCAGGAGTGATGATTTGTAATTTGCAAAGCAGTGGAGACTTCATTTCTGAAAATTGATTTTCTTCTTGGATGAAATTTGAATGGAAGAATTTCGTGACCCATTATGAATATTACAGCGGAGAATTGCAAAATCGCATTTTGATAGATGTCACCTCCATTCTTTATTCTTTATTGGTAAAAAGGCAATATATACATTTAACAGCCGTATGAACAATTACAAAATGTAACATGCTCATATATATATGGTTCATGAAGGAAATAATGACTGAAATTATAATACATGGCTCGATACTCGATGTTTACGCTTCTTCTATTTTTTTTAAAAAATGTCTCTGAAGCCGATTCTGCCAAACATGTGTTTTAAGATTGCTGAGCATCTCAGCATTTCGTAAGG